ACCAGCTCATTGTCATCGTCGAATTACTGTAACAATTTCTATAATATCATTGATACTCATGTGTACCAATGTACACTCAGTAGGATTCAATAATAGTATAAATAACATCTAAAAAAATATAGTTCCGGTACGCATAATACCATAGGACCAAGTTACGTATTATTACCAAGGCCCGAAAATGTCTCGTCGCAGTCGTTCCAACAGCCCTTCTAACAACTCTTCAAGTAGCTCTTCAGGGGGGGTCAGTATCCACTCTGTCGACTCAGACGTCCCGGATATCACTAACGAAATTGGGAGACTTGCCTGTAAGCTTCTAGGCCACGATGCCAAGTTAGAAGAACATTCCTCGGCGGTTAGAGATACCATTCACTTAATCACCGGGCAAATGACACACCTTCTCCGCCTTTTGGAATCGGAAATTGCTTTTCCCAACTTAAAAGACGTTCATTCCAATTCCAAGCCTACAATTAGACATCGTAACCACGTGTCTCTGGGTCGCCCAATGGCGAAAGGCTGGATCAAGAAGCTCAATCGCGCATGGTCTAGCAATGCCGAAATGCATTCTCATCTCTCTAGGTTCAAAGAAATCCACCCTGGCTGGGATCCCAAAGACAGCGATAGGCTCGCGCAGATTGGAGATATCGTCGATCGAGGCGTATTTTCAGTCCTGCAAGACATGAGAGAACTTGTTAACGACCGTCCCGATCCGTTGGATGAAGAATACGTTTATGTGAATGATTTCGAGCCTGTGAACCCCTTCTTGACCGATGACGAAGCTGGTAGTAGCGATGAGGAATCGGAGAGTAGCGAATGCAAGAAAGGATCCAGTACTAATGAGACAACAGACGGAGGTGCCTCGTTCGACGACGCGGTTGACCAACTTCATATCTCTCAACTTCGCATAACTGATTCTGACTCTGATTCCGACTCTGACTGGGACTAATAGTTTTCTTTTTTTGGTATTTATAGTTAGTTGTAACTGATTTCGGTTGAGTCACTTATTTACCCAGCAATCTACATATACGTTAATATAAAAAAAAATAAAGAGAAGGCCTACTACCAGGTAGGATGATTGAATTGTGACTCCTCTCGCAGAGTCTCAGGCCAGAATTTAAACGTGGTTGAAGTACTTGATAGGATTTATATTTCCTACTCCATCTTCGAATATTGAACATAGAGCCCAGAAACGCTTAATATTACATTTTGTATTGATTCAGAATTGAAAGAGAAGAGTGATGACTTCTAATGCTGTCAAGTGATCGGATAGCTGCATGGTGATTGACATATTGCATGGAAGGAAATGGAAGCGTACCTAAAACAGAAGTACATTAGAGGTATGCAATAAAGAAGGATTTGCACACCACGAGGCTTGATGATAAGATAACATTCTCTGAATAACAACAATCTTAAGCTATTGTCAAGCTCACAAACTGCATTGTACTATTATACTCGGCTAGCTGGCGCTTTTTCCTTAAAACAGCGGCGATGCAAACTACCCGATGTATTCCGCTTTGAGAAATTTCGCAGGTCGGTCGGGGCCGTGCTTGAAACCCAAAAGCGTCTGGTCTTCATGTTCTCGGACGCCCATTCTGCGCCGGCCATATGCTACGACACAGCTTGACTTGCCTGCTCTAGATCGAAAATGGCGTCAAGTTTCGAGGCGCAGCGAGAGCTCCGAAGAGGGTCGTCAACTCCGCGGACAAAACGGTAGCAATGCTACGCTAAAGCATCATGATTCTCAGTCCACTAATAACCACATGTACATACTTTCTATGTTCCCTTATCCCTCAGGCAAACTTCACCTTGGCCATCTTCGAGTATACACTATAGCAGACGTATTAGCACGCTTCTATAGTTTACAAGGCCGTGATGTACTTCTTCCAATGGGCTGGGATGCCTTCGGATTGCCTGCTGAAAATGCAGCAATTGAACGCGGCATTGACCCCGCCGTCTGGACGAGGGACAACATTGCCCGTATGAAGGAGCAGCTCGAGTCGATGAATGCAACTTTTGACTGGTCGCGGGTTCGTTGAGATACACCATGAAAATATCGAAGAACCGACTATTAATTCACTACGTAGGAATTTGCAACATGTGACCCAGAGTTCTACAAACACACCCAGAAAATATTCCTTCTTCTCCACAAGCACGGTTTAGTGAGCCAGCGGAAGGCAACTGTAAACTGGGATCCTATCGACAAGACCGTGCTTGCGAATGAGCAAGTCGATTCAGACGGTCGATCATGGAGATCAGGTGGAAAGATCGAGCAGCGCGAGCTTGAGCAATGGTTCTTCCATATAACTCAATTCAAGGAGTCGCTACTACGAGATCTCAAGAAGCTCGGTGAGGATGATGCATGGCCCGAGAGAGTCTTAACTATGCAGAGGAATTGGTTAGGACGCACAGAGGGTGCTTATTACGAATTCACCGCCAATACTGCGAGTAAAGGAGCCGAGTCTCATAAGGTGAAGATATATACAACACGACCTGAAACTATATTTGCAGCTCAGTTTCTTGCGCTCTCTCCACATTCGTCCCTCGTACAGCAGATGGCACAAGAAGATCCGGCCCTACGGGAGTTTGTCGAGCGCGTAAAGGATCTCCCCCTCGATACTACAGAAGGTTACGAGATACCGTACATAAAAGCGAGTAGTCCGCTTTCTTCCCTCAAAGATGTCCCAGAAGAAAACCTCCAGCCTCTTCCAGTATACGTTACCCCCTACGTCAGAGGAGATTACGAAACGGGTGCAATTATGGGAGTTCCTGCCCATGACGCAAGAGATTATGCATTTTGGAAAAGGCATCGTCCCGACGAACCTCTCAAATACGCTGTCTCACCCGAGCCTAACGGTTATATCTCTGCTCTTAAGGATGGTCCTTACTTGGAAGCAGGATTCTTGACTCCTATCACCGGTTCTTATAATAAGATGCCTTCTAGCGCTGCGGCGAAGGATATCGTCTCTCAGATCAAAACTAAGTCTAATCTCGCAGAAAGTAACACCAAGTGGAAAATTAGGGACTGGCTGATTAGCAGGCAGAGATATTGGGGTACACCAATCCCAATTATCCATTGTAGTACATGCGGTCCTCAGCCTGTTCCTGAAGATCAACTTCCCGTTACTCTCCCCAGAGTTGATCATCACTGGGAAAGTGGACGTCCTGGTAACCCGCTCGAGTCTGCCACCGATTGGGTTAACACCTCGTGTCCCAAATGCCACGGTCCAGCGAAGCGAGATACCGACACGATGGATACTTTTGTGGATTCTAGCTGGTATTATATGAGGTTTGCAGACTCCAAGAATTCAGAAGCCCCGGTGTCCGAAGTCGCGGCAAAAAGCCATCTCCCAGTGGATATCTACATCGGAGGAGTAGAGCACGCTATACTCCACCTACTCTACGCTAGATTTGTATATAAAGCGGTTATGAGTATTTTGTATCCCGAAATGGACAAAGAAGGTGGACATCTCAACTCACCGGTCGACTTCTCAGGGGAACCTTTCAAGCGACTCATTACTCAAGGCATGGTGCATGGAAAGACATACACAGACCCTGACAGTGGCCGGTTTTTAAAGCCAGACGAAGTAGACTTATCGAATCCTTCTCAGCCGAAAGTAGTGGCATCGGGAAAGACCGCAGCAGTATCGTTCGAGAAGATGTCCAAGTCTAAACACAACGGTGTAGACCCAACTTCTTTCATCGCTAAATACGGATCAGATGCTACAAGAGCTCATATCCTCTTCCAAGCACCTGTAGGAGAAGTTCTAAACTGGGACGAGGATAAGATTTCTGGAGTGACGCGTTGGCTGCGCCGTCTGTATGACTTTGTGCAAAGCGTTCCAAAATTGACGGAGTCTGGGCCAAAGTCTCGCACTGACTTCGATGGTAAAGCTTATTTCGGCCGTTCTGCAGATGAAATACAGAAGATGAACGATAGGGAATCAGCGCAATGGGCTGCAGATGTGGAAGTGTGGCGCACGACGCAAAACACGATCGCCTCCGTTACTAACGCGCTAGAGAAAGTTTACCCCTTAAATACTTCGGTCTCGAGCCTGATGGGCCTCACAAATACGCTTGTCGAAAACAAGGTAGCTTCAGATTTAATCAAGCGCGAAGCTACGCGGCAGCTTATACAGATGATGGCGCCTATCACTCCCGCATTCGCTGAAGAGTGTTGGAGTATCCTCGTACCTAACAGTGGGAGCATATTTACGAAGGGTGTGTGTACCTGGCCCGTCCAAGACGGGTCACTGCAGTTCTTAGGAAGAAGCCACGTCTCTTGCGCCGTACAAGTAAATGGTAAGCTGCGGTGCGTTGTGGACATACCAATAAGGCCAGCAGAGATAGCGGATGGTGGAAGTGAATTCCGCGACTGGGTCACAGAAGAGATTCTCAAGTCACCAGAGGCTCAGGCCAAGTTAATTGGCGATCTTGACATCAGGAAGGCGAGCAAGGTGTTTCCCGTAAGAGGCGGTGCAGTCGTCAATTATGTGATTCCGAAGAAAAAGGAGTAGATAAAAGGGGGGAGTGCATATCTGATTAGATACCTAGCTCAACGCTAGGCTAGACGTGTAAAATAAATGCAGATGGATGTATATAACTGAAAAGGGGTAGCCCCTGGAATACTGGTAGCTAATGTATTAAAGTGTGCCTAACGTTTGTAAACCCTCAGATCCTTATATCGCGCGCCATACCAGATACCTAGGGTGGTGGTGGTTTGGCTCTTTGGCCCAACTCACGGCAAAGTTCAAAACTTGTGCATGCGCAATATAGTATGACTATAAAAGCCTCCACCATAACACGCATCAGCACTTTCTTTCGACTGATGCAAATGTTTTCCAGTTTTCGAGGCAGCAATCGAACCAAATAGCAAACATCTTATCAAGCCAACATCTGCAAGCTTGTACAACAACCAAGGCGCAAACACATATCGAGCTTCGTCTTGCATTTACTATCGATCAACCCCCTAAACTCGATTATCTAAACAAATACTACCTGCCACGATGCCTCAACAGCTCTTCCACAACCTCGGCAACCTATTCTCCACGGCCTTCTTTAAAGAGGACGTAATCCGCAACAACACCCTAAACCCGGTGCGCCTCGCCGTCGGCGCTCGATGCTACAGGATCCAATCGCGACTACTGCGGATCCCCGACCGGTACGGGATATTCTCCCCGGGCCCGCCGCGACTGCAAGTATACCAAGCGGGCAGGTTCATGGTGTTGTTTTTCAGCCTGTGGTACCTGAACGCCGTGGTGTGGGTGCCGACGATTGTGTTGTTGGCGTTCTTCGGGGGAAGGGGGAAGGCGGAGAGGGCGGTGCTGGTGCTGGGAGGGGTGGAGTTGGTTATAGTTACGGTGTTTTGGGCGACGGCGTGTCGGGATAGGCGGAGACGGCCGGGGTTTGTGTGGCCGGATTGGAGGGAGAGGAGAGAGTGAGGGGAGAGGAGAGAGGAGGGAAGGGGGATGCTTGGCTTGTGGATTGGAGTAAGTCACAGTCAAAGTGGGCAGTATAACCGGCGAATGGAGTAAAGAAAAGAAAAAACAAGCCTTTTCAGTTTTTCGATAAGGTCCGAACCTTGGTGTATTATTATCTTCTTTCAACCTTCGAATTTGAAGGTATGACTTACACGTTTAAAGGGGTTCCTCTTTAAGATATCAGTACTTAAGCTGGCGTACCGTTTGCCAGCCAATCAACGTGTTCAAATTAATTTAAAAGCGGAACCAAACAGCCAATTTCTAGAGAAGCACTCACTATAAGAATTCACTATAAAACACTCCCACTATAAAAAACACATTCCGTAACTTAGTACGTTTCTCATAATGAAACTACCACGGATACCACCGTCGGCAATCCCGCGCTTGCAAGAAAACAGGCGACACCTCGCCGCTCTACTTCCCACTTGTAAAACTCTTAACTCGGCACAGAACGAGCTGCGTTGGATCCATGACTCCCTGGAGTCTTCCACCCTCGCGCCACAGTTTCAAAAGATCTTAACAACAAAAGGTGACGACAAGAAGGCCAAACATGAGCTGCTGTACCGTCTATGCCGCCTCAGGGGCCGCGGGTATCCGTTACAGTATATCCTGGGGAACCAGCCCTTCGGTGACCTTGACATCCAGTGTCGTCCGGGAGTCTTGATCCCGCGCCGTGAGACGGAGGCTTGGACGGTGCATCTTGCGCAAGTTGTGCGTGAGGCCTTGGAAGAAAAAGAAAAGGAAACCAGGAAGGAAGTAGACGCGGATCTGAAAATCATCGACATGTGTACCGGATCCGGCTGTATCGCCTTGTTGCTGTTCTCGCTGCTAAACCAGCGGTTTCCCAAGATGCAGGTCCGAGGGTACGACATCGAGCCTAGAGCCGTCGAGCTGGCGCGGGAAAATCTGGAGTATAATAAAAAGTACAGTTTGCTCCACCCACCCGAGTATAGAGACGGCGTCTTGTTCGGAGAGGCGAATGTCTTCTCCACAACGTGGCCCTTCCACGTAATTCGCGAGGATCGATGCAAGCCTGCCGAAAAGAATAACATCCAAGAAATGACATCGTCCGCACAAGACAATGAACGGATGGTATGGAATAAAAACACCTTTGGCGTACTGGTCTGCAATCCGCCGTATATATCGGAGGAGGGCTTCGGTCGCGATACAGAACATTCGGTGCGGAGCTACGAGCCCCGCCTCGCTTTGGTTCCCGACCCATCAGCGAGTCGCAAATTATATCCTGACGTGAGACCCGAAGACATATTCTACGCTAAGATTCTAGATGATGCAGCAATGATGCAGCCGCAGTTCGTAGCCCTCGAGGTCGGGGACACAGCGCAGGCTATCCGCGTGTTGCAGATGGCGTTTGAGCGGTATAAGATAGCGGGTGCGGAAATCTGGAGAGATTGGCCTGATGCGATACCTCGGGATTATGAGGAAGAGAGCGTGGAAATCGCTGATGTTAGCGTTCCCATCAGGGGTAGCGGGAATGGGAGAGCTGTTGTCCTTCGCCGACGTTCTGGTTTATCAGCCGAATTCTGATGGCGGTCACCAAACCAGTTAGCAGCACAAATTATCACCACCCCAAATAAAATTATATGCTAGGTAGGCGTTCATCTAAGTTTTGATAAATCGCGTGCTATATATACAAAAAAGAGCGATATTTACAGCTAATACCTACTATACAGGTCTATCTACAAACTTGAGGTAGTCCATCCCGTAACACTATTACACAGATGTATCGCATTCTCTACCCTTTCACGGCTTCGCAAACTTGTCGAAGAACTCCATGATAATCTGCGACGCCGATATATGCGTCGGCCCTTCTCCTGCTGCTACCTGCGAGAAATTGATCTCGGTCGACGCCCAGCAGTGCCCTGGAGGAGTTAGCAAATATTTTCAAATATAACCAGACAGTACGAGTGTAACCAATATCCAGAAGAGGGAAGAATCAAGTCAGACTTACCCATATCATCGACCTTCCAGTGCTGCAGCGCGCCATCTTCACCACCGCAATTCCAGGTAGTATGGTGCACGTCGCCATCAAAGCTATCCTCCACCTTCTTCGCGCTATCGTCGCACCCGTTCCTTTGCGCCCACCATCCTAACCACGTCGGAATACTCGGCTCCTCACCTCCCTCGCCCTCCCCACCGTCGTAGTGCACGCTACCGTCATTACCTCCGTGGACTTCGAGTAGAGGCAGCGGACTCCGCGCGGGTTTGCAGTCCCCGTGCGCCGCGTCGTTGTCCGTGTAATACGACCCCGAGGCGGGCGCGAAAGCTGCAAATTGGCCTCCTACGTCGTTGCACGCGATGGTGTTCACGAACCCGCCACCGATGGACATGCTATTTATTGGATAGAATCAGCAGGGCACATTGGATAATGCTAGTTCGACGATTAGAAAAGAGGGCATTACCCCGTGGCGTAGATCCGGCTATCGTCTACACAATACGATCCCCGGATGTCGTCTAGTAGGTCCGAAACAAATTGCAGATCTTCTTCAACCGAAGCCTCGGAGTAGTTCGCGCCAGCCCAGGCGCCCTAGACGCTGTTAGATAAGGCAATTTATTCGATGGCATAGTGGTGGAGGGACTTACACCAACACCGTTCGGGTAGACCATGATTTTCTAAGCAATTATCTCGTCAGCAGCCGTATATATATATACCAACCAAAATTAGGTAAACTCTAGAAATATCATAACTGCCTACATTTGCGCTGAACTTGTCCGAGCTTAAACCTGTATCCACCTCGAAGAACAACCCAATACTACTCGAGCCGTGAAAACCCACCACGACCGGGTACGGCGTGTTCTCGCTATAGTTCCCCGGCAAGTGGATGAAGTAATTCCTTCCGCGCCCGCTGCTCGTGAGCCCGCGATACTGCGTTATGCCGGGGAGCAGGTGCGACTTGCCGCACCCCGCCGACCCTGCTGAAGTAGTCGCTGTTGGAGCAGCAGCGACAGGGGTGCCTGCGGCGAGGATACTTAAGAAAGTAGAGAGCTTCATTGCGGTATAGACTTCCTATGACTAGACAAATAAATTAACAAGTTCAGGAGGAAAAAGAAAAAGAGAGGAGCTTTTGAAGCTTGTGATTCTTAAATTAAGCTCATCTGATCCAGGGGCTCAGGTTGTTTATAAGAGCCAGCCTGGAGTTATGCAAGATCGGCGGTACCGGATCTATATTTGGCTTCGATCGCACACCGAGGGACGGCACGCGATAGGTTAAAAAAAGCTTAACATAGCATTTCATTTGGACTTGATTGAAGACGAAAAATAAGAACCACCTGCCCGAATAGTCAAGTTAAGTTCTGCGATGTCTGGTTGGACGCGGGGACGGATATTAGCTTCAAGGGGGATGTAACGTTATTATTATACATTAGGTAAAAAGGTCTTGAGAAACGAGAAACTTTTAATGCTTGCGCCTGACTTGATTGGCACTCCACGTGAATTAACTATTAAATATGAACACCGCACGATAGCAGCGTAAGCAAGCCGACCTTCGTGGCGACTGTACACTCGGGGACGTACTGCCTATAATATCCTCCTCAATATCTTCCTGAATAACCTCGTCATAGCTCGCAATATAAAACCCAATAGTGCTATTATCGTAAGTTTCGGGGGATGAAGATTTTGATGGCCGCAACACCAGGAGGCATGCGATCGCTGCGAAGGCAGGCCAGGCTCTGCAGCGCGTGTAGATAGATGCGTTGCGAAGTGCTTGCTACATCTCCTTGAATAAACCCCACCGTCACTCCTCGCGATATAGAATCCGATTGTGTCGTTATTATGAATCTTGAGAACGGCCCTTCTGATGCTTGCGTCTTTATTGATTGACACCGCATGCGATATGACCAAACACCAGGAGGCACACAATAGTAGTGTAAGAAGTCGGCCTTCATATTGTGTAGAGAGTCGTGTCGTACCACTGGCCATATCCTTCTCGATATCTTCTTGGATGTCCTCATCGCTGCTCATCACAATACAAAATCTAATAGGAGGGTTGGAAGATAAAGTACCGCGTCGTGTAAGTCTTCCATCTTAAGGATCGGATGCGAATTAGAAGGGTGAAGCAGGCTGAAAGTCGAAAGTACTTGCCAGAAGGAGGGACGAATCAGAATATAAAACCCAACTCATACCGGTATAGAGTTGCCACGCCTCCTTGCAACTATGGGCCTTCCTCCTCTTACCATCGATATGTTCAAGGATAGTGGGCCAATCCACCCTCGAACGAAATATCGCCTGGGTATAGAAACAAAATGGTGCTAAAGAACTTCCCTCTCAAGTCAAATAATCATCTTGAAAATCAAATATGTTGTTCGAAAGTTGCAAGTGGTAAGCAGTGAGTCGTAAACCACAAGGCATAGGTCTGACCACCTAAGCCTTGTGCCGGGCAAGGTTAAGCCAGTTCCCGTGGGCTGGCCGAACTGCCTGTGCGGTTGGCTGGAAGACGTTGAAGGGAAGGGCCCCAGCTTATAATAGAAAAGCGACCACCAGAATAAAGACGAATAAGGGTAATAGAAGGATGGTGCTAATAACACTGCCCAACACAAGCCTGATTATCCCGTACACTTCATTGGCAACTGCGAAGAACACGCCGTAGGTTGATAGGAGTGCCCAGTGGACAAATAGTGATAAAGCGCGACGCACAAGGAGTTGTATATGCGGATGAAGAGTTCCAAAGGCCTTGTCGTCGGCATTGCCTGACTCTTCCGCGATAAGAGCTGCGCGCGTCCACCAAAGGAATATCTGAAGCTGCAATATGAGGATGAGCATAATAATTCCGGCCCAGTATTCTGCTTGAACAACCAAGAGTTCGTTGGGAAGGAACTTGGAACGTGCAGGGGTGCAGGTGAAGGTGTGCGTCTTCATGAAGGACGGAAGGCGGATGAATCCTATTATTATTAGAGTTAGCAACTCGCTCGTCAAAGGTCATTGCTCAAAGTTCATGTCATATTCTCGTTTGCGAATATATCATCCATTTCGCGTAATAATCGTGAGTCACTCGTGGTACGAAGCCAAGGTAGAAGAGGACGGTGGATATGGATATGGATATGGATGAGGATGAAAATGCAGATGAAGATGACGATGACGATGCGGGCTGGGACGGGGATAGG